CTCTGATCTAGTGAGGGTTGACCAGGTTCCCACAGGGAAATCTTAGGAAATTGGGAAATGATCACAGCAATGAAATAATTCAGAAAATACGGACAACCAAGGCCAAATGCATACTGATCAAACTACTATGACATTATTTTCTGAAGGAACAAGGGCATTTAAAGAAACACAATGGAAACAAATGATCCAAACAGACATGGAAAAAGAACATGAAACTTAGGCATCGGATATGTCAACACAGGTGTTATAGAGAACAACCTAAAGCTTAATTTGGCCAAATATTGGGACCCATGGGTGGTGCAGCTGTTTAAGCGAGCGACTCTTGCTTTTGGCTCAGGACATGATCTCAAGATCAGGAGCTCAAGCCCCATGTCATGCTCTGTGGCCAGCACAGAGTCCTCTCGTGATTTCCTCTCTGTCCATCCTTCCCCCACTCGGAGTCTCACACTGATCCTGCTAAGTAAAGAAATCTCTCTTTCAATAAAGGGGCAAATGTGGATGTTGACGAATCGGGATGGCCTCTGATCATATAAAACACAAGTTAGACATAATTACCCTTTAAGAATAAAGAATTGAGGAACTAGAAGAAAACCAAGGTAAATGACAAAGTTCGGTTATGGAATTCTCTTTTAGGAGTAATAGAAATATTCCTCGAGGGATATCTCTAAGTTTCAGGGGCATTAAAATAAAGTCACCTTGCAGTGTCTGGGTGGCTTTGCGAGTTTGTGTTGACTCTTCCTTTTGGCTCAATGGCTGATGTCTGACATTGGTGTCGCATCAACTCATTGACCTCCTTGCTCCGTGTGGATTCCACTTGTCGTTTTCCCTGGGGTCCTACAACCATTATCTCTCTCTCTCTCTCTAAACTAAGAATATGATAATTTATGGAATTCTATTTTAGAAGTAATAAAAAAATTCCTCAAGCGATATCTGAATATTTATGGTGTTTTTCAAATTAAAACACCGTGGGGTGACTGGGTTGTTTGGCCTGTTACCCCTGACTTTTGGTTTTGGCTCATTGGCTGATCTCCTTCAAAGTTGCCCCTTCCCCTCATTGTCCTCCTTGCTCAATGTGGAATGGACTTGTACTTCTCCCTGTGCTCCTATACCCATTCTTTCTCTTCCTCTCTCTATCTCCCTCTCTCTCTCAACTAAGGAAATGAAATCTTTTAATATATAAGATCAGTTAAGTAATATGGAAAATAACAGAGATGCAACAATATGACTATTTTAATATAAAATTTGGTTATATAACCTACAATTTATAATTCATCAGAAAGCATTATCTGATATGTCAATACATATTTCATATTTCATATTCAATTTCATATATCATATTCAACTGATATGTCAATACATAATGGGAGACCATTTTAAAAATTGATAAGTTACGATGTGGAAACCATTTGCTAATGGGTTTGTCAAATGAATTTTTCCAAAATAACTCCCCTCCAAAATATAAACCATGACTACTCACGTTTCTCCAAAGCTAAGAGTTCAGTACAAAAACAAAATATATAATAAATAATTCAACAATGTATGTGTGGAAAAATGTCTAGAGATGTAGTCTCTACTCAAATCTTTCAAGATGGGACTTCGTCAAATGTTAGCCAAGTTTGTTAAAATAAGAGATACATAAGAGAGATAAGGAGGCATACAATATGTGTGTTTGCAAAATAGTTGGTGTTGAAGAGTTTTTAAAGTGTCATGAAAGATTGATCTAATTCCATCATCCACTGTCTTCTTTGATCATTAATTCAGTCAGTCCATGCAGATCTATCTGCTGACTGTGTCGAGCCCTTCCAATGGCATTCCCCAAAGTCCGTGCAGAATACCCATGGGGTCTGAGCTGCAGGAGACTGGGAATGGATCATTGAACCTTCGGAAAAACACAACATCCAGAGTCAGTAGTAGGCTGAAGCAGCCAGCAAGATTCACTGCTCATCCTATGGAGAACATGGGGGCATTTGAAGACAAAATGTTGCCTAGACGCTTGACAAAGATCATACATAATCTGTTGAGAATACATATATCAATCGATACTGTGGACATAAGGATGCAGCAGGTTATGAAAAGTTTTTAAAATGGAAGAGGTCAGAGTTGATGAGAAAGACCCCTCCAGACAGGGGTAGGGGGTGTTTCAAAAATTCAGAAGACAAAGGTTCTCCAAGGATATTTTATCTTAGCTTTTTTTTTTTTCCAATTTCCAACGAATTGGGTTAGCAAGAAAAGCCTACCTGCAAACTAACAAAAGTTGAGACTAGCTGACATTGGTAGAGATTTGATGGTTGACCAGGCTGTGCTCTGTTCTGCATTGAAACGGAGCACCACAAACCTTCTCAGGATTTCTGGGGTATTTACTACAGACCTTCATTTACTACTTTGCAAACATTTAACCAGCTCTCCTTTCTGTAGAATACAATTTATAATTGAGAAATTTGAGGAATTATATATGTAATGTTCCAACAGAGCTCTTGGAACCTTGGACAACCTAATTTAGAAAAGGGAATGAAAAGCACAATTTCAAAATCCAAATTGCTATTTACTTTCTTATATTATAGATACTGTTTTCTCTTAAATCTTTCCTTCAAAAAAAAAAAAAAAAAAGGTTTGATCTTTAAATTGTGACCAATCTGTTCACATAGGGTAGTAACGAATGCCTTACCATGACGTTCCTGATATCCACCTTTAAAAAAAAATGCAGAAGTACGTTAGAGAATGAAACTAAAATTCTGACAGTTCATTGCTCTGTGAAGTCAGTGAATCTCTATAGATAGGACTCAAAATTATATTTTTGTGTTTGAGAGCCATGTATTATGCAGCTACCTAACTGATAAATAGAAGCTCAACAATATCCAGTTTCTTAACAGAATTTTGATAACTGATACCATGTTTCACAGAGCTCTAAGACTTGACCTTCCAACACTGACCAGGAGATATTCAATATCTGTATCTATAAGTTTATCTATATCTATATGTGTGTATGTGCATATATATATATATATATATATATATATATATGCACACACACACACACACACACACACAAACATATCATCTGTGGACATTTACATTACTTGCTTTTCTTGCATGGCTATATGAAAAACGCTCTAATAAACATTGGGGAGAGCATGTGCTTTTTAGCAGTAGTGTTTTAATTTCTCCTAATAAATACCTAGTACTTGATTTACTGCCTAATTTAATTAATTCGATTTTTGTTCTGTTCAGAAACATGAAAATATGTTTTCCAATATTGGCTGCACAAATTTATATGCTCATCAATAGGTCATCGTGTTCCCTCTCTACATCTTCACCAAAGTTGCCTCTCTTTTTTATAAAAACC